ATAAAGATTGAGAAGTTATGATGCATAATACTGATTAATAGATTGTGGCTCTTTATATATAATAGAAATTGTCAGCATTATTTACACGCAGCTCAGCTGGTAGAATGATATATTTCTCCTTTTATCAATTTTAGTAACACAGATAAACACGTTGACACCGAATGCTAAATAATTTATTTCATTGTATAAAGTAAAATAATTTATTTCTTTATATAATGCAAAATAATTTATTCCTTTATATGCAGAAAAATAATTTATTTCTTTATGTAAAATAAAATATAATCTATTTCTTTATATAAAGTAAAATAATTCATTTCTTTATATACAGAAAAATAATCTATTTCTTTATATAAAGTAAAATATAATTTATTTCTTTATATGCAGAAAAATAATCTATTTCTTTATATAAAGTAAAATATAATTTATTTCTTTATATGCAGAAAAATAATCTATTCCTTTATATAAAGTAAAATAATTTATTTTTTTATATAAAGTAAAATAATCTATTTCTTTACATAAAGTAAAATAATCTATTTCTTTACATAAAGTAAAATTGACTGCATCAATCAGTACACGACAACAGCAAATAAATGACTGGAACAATCTGCAGAGTAAATCCTCTCCAATTGTCCCTCAACTTGTAAACAGAAGTAGACAACTTGGGCAGAATAGATATATCATTCGATCCTTGTGGCTCGTTTTTCTAGTTGTTGACACGTTCGCGTGGAGAACTGGATAAGGTTAACAACAAAAAAATTCGTAATCATACTAGCAATCACGACGATAGTGTTGCAGGCGCGTGCATCCAGTCGACAGTCATCATGACGACGTACGCAGGAACGATAGTGTGGAAAAGATAGGTCAGATGTTAGCTCGCGAAGCGGCTTGGGTAACCCGGTAATTCCGCATGCTCGAAACCATGCAAATTGTAGAGTACTTCGCTCGAAGTATGACGAAGTTTTTCCTTTGTTTTTCTTCGTTGCCACACCATTGGGAAATCAACGCTCCCGAGATTGTTGGCCGTGATACGACAGATTTTACCGAATGCTATATATGCATTTTATATCCCCGTAATTAATGACACACGTGATCGCTGACATCGTGATCACGACACACGTGATCGAAATACTTGAACAGCCTTCGTTACCGCACGAAAGATAGGGCGCGCTTTAACACTAGATTTACGGAGCACAAAAAAGAATACAATAAGACATTTAGCCTGATTTTTAACAACGAGGAAAATTCGTAGAATCTCAACAGTCGAAGATAAAAAAGTTTAAGAGGCTGCCATTTCGATGGAATCTGCAGTTTTAACGTTCAAATACCGAAGATGCTGAATGCTTCGTGCGAAAATATGAGTTACGACTTTGCACTGCTATTAACGTCAGTTAAGAATTGATTGATTTACTGCTGGAAGTAACAATATACGTAAAAAGACTAGGTTCACGCGTACTTTGTTTTACATCGTGAAGATACATTTCATAAAAGTTGAACGAAACACAGTTCCGCTCATTGGCTCAGCCGCCTCACGCCATCTGATCTCGCTTCTCATTGGTCGCTGCTTGATAACTAGAGGAGGAAAAAGTTAC